ATTTCAGTCACTATTTATTGTTAATGCAATATAATGTTTATATGTTGTTTTTATGGCATTGATGATAAATTAATTAATAATTCAATGATGACTCATACCAATCTTGTGACTGCCACCCTTGTAACCGTTCTTTCAGATAATACATCACGTTTGATTTTGGGTACTTTCAGAGGTTAGATTGTTTATTAATTATCGGCAGTTAGTTTCTGGCCTTAGCCTTTACCTAATTAATTAGTTATACATTACACATGCACATTAACATGTTTTCGTATTGAGACTATCTACTTACTGTATAAAATGAGTGTATACCAACAGGATAATAAGAATTTCGTATACCGGAATGATAGGTTACGTTGATTGATTTCTTTACTCTTTATTGGAATTAATATAATAGGTAAGTAATAAAAGCGAAAAACTTTGATTAATTAATAATATTAAAACATAATTTCTCAATCTTAATGTAAAATGTAGGAATGCAGTCGAAAGAGTTATAGTTATTGACGTTTTTTGCAGCAATTCTAAATATAAAGCAATATCTTTCGCTATTGTTATGAGCTAGATACTGCTTAGAATGTCGTAAATTTCTTCAATAGCCACAAATTTTGCAAGCGAATTGGCATAATCAGCAAAGAAATATATTTGGGCATTTCGCAAATTGACTAGGCATTTCGCGAATTGACTGGATTTCGTACTTGGACGGTGTGATGTTTCGGAAGATTGTGGATTCGTCATGATCACAGTAAATTACCAGAGTTAATTTAGTAGAGGAATAGAGTTTATTGGAATTAGTGCAAAGGGAAAAACCGTGTGAGATTACAGCGTGTATAACGACGTGACTAGTCGAATAGCTATAGTAATGTAGCATAGATAAAGTGTGCAAGCTTACCGTGTAACTAGCAGAACTAACTAACGAGATAGGTGAAAGAAGATAGCTTTTATAATGTATGAAGCACAGCAGGAGGAAATCATAAATGACTAATAAGAATATGTTACTTCTATGTTAAGACAAGGCTACGATATAATTCAGCTAGATTTAAAAGCGATTTCCACAGAGTATTTTGTTAAATATAAATTATACATATTTAGAGTTATGCTACAATCTAGTGGAAATTGACTTTTACTAAAAAATAGACTATACCGTATTTAGAAGTAAACACTACAGACGGTAACACGGCTAAAACCCGAAATTGTGATGATATCTCTCTTCAATCGGGCTTTAACCGGCTAGTACGCGTATTAGCCGAGATCGGGTTTTAGCCGGAACATATATACGTACATTACCATAAATCTACTAATTTCATAGCTATTAATACAGATATGTGTCATCGCTATTCACGTATATTTATAAAAAAATTGATGCCAGTACATTTAAATTAATAATGAAGATTGATATTTTAAAAGTTTAAATGATCGTATCTGGAACTAAGCAGGTTCGTATAATTAATAATTATGGCGTATAATTTTTAATTTTCTTATCATCAAGCCTCAAAGAGCCCAATCACTAATCCATAAACATACGAGTATCATCTTGTAATATAATATAAATATTCTATTAATTATTTAGTCATTTAAACGGTAACATCTTGAAAATAGCAAACCTGAAAGATAACTTTACGAACATTATCCTAATTTCGTGATACTTAATAGAAACAGCCAAAGATCTACAGTTCCTGTAATCGATGCTAAGCTGAGCAAAATTTAACAAAAATTTTTGAATTAAGCTAGCAATTGGAATTCAAAATATGGTAGATGGGAATTGTTTTATTAGCTCTAAAGTGGTGACAGCAAGTGTTCCCCTTATTATTTTATCTTATAGCTGCCTACCTCATATGCTTTCTATTTCCTCATACACGAAAATAATCATCATCAAATCGAATTCAGAAAGATTCATTTTAATCGAGAAAATCATTGATTTTACTTCTGTAAAGGAGGTATTCGTTGCGTCTTTCATTAGTTTGGTTACGTTATAAGCATGCCTGGAATAAGCTTGCAAATATCTGTTTGATTGTAACCTCTCGCGTCACAAATTCAAGCTCCACTATCTCTAAGTAGTAGTTGATCAGTAAAATCTTTGATTGGCACACCAGGCCATTATAGAAACAAATACTGTTGTTACTTAACTAAACTTGCCTAATCTAAACTAATTAGATTACCCTAGATAAGTAACAATAACTGAGAAATACACTTTCGGAATCTTCTAACTATATCTTTATTGTAGAAAATGCAAGTCTAATTTAATATTCAAAATCAATCATTTAGACTTATATTGAATTTACCATTGACAATTCTTATACTATATTTAGTATAATTTAAGGTGTATTGAGAACAAGTTTGTATCGGCTATATTAAGTCATAAAATAATTCATGCTCATATCCAAATTAATAACTATCTTATCGTGATACATATACATGTCTAAATTAAGTAAGATATCATCCATCACGGTAGATTCACTACCGTGACAGCTGTATTGAGTATTATATTATGATGAAATGACGTCATTTATTGTAAAATTGGTATCTATTCTACGATATACTGTGTAGTAGTGCATTGATCACTAAAGAAATGTTTGTGATTCAATTTCAAATTGCCAACACTATAGATATTTTCTTATAAATTGGACACAGTATTTTGAAGTGTTAACTATCAATTTTGAAAGTTATTATATTATAATTAATTATTCATTTACCGAAATTGTACACGACGATCTTAACTGCAATTCTATTGATTTACGCGTACTACATCATTCCAAAACTGTGGCTACAGCGTTTTACGTACACTAGGTAGACAGTTATCATTTTAACGAGTTGCTATAAGTTAGTTAACTAGGGTACTAGTGTACGTGCTCTAACTAGAATTGTCCACGCGAATAAAATACACTCGAAATGTATGCGTAATTACGTAGTTAAATTAAAAGCTTATTCATCGTCTCTTCAACAGATTATGACGTTGTCTTTCACCAAGTTCTAGCCACTAACTAAAATCACTGCTGCATTACTAGCACATACCTACCTCTATTTAGTGGCCACTTCGTCACCGGTATATTAATTAAAACAGGATGTGCAGTATTGGAAAGAAGACTCTAATTTCGAGTACTGTGAACACTGTCGGTTTTTCGACTTTGAAACATTTACGGTGGTCTGCGTCGAATTACATCGATCCTTTCCATTTTCTCTCTAGTAAAAATGGGAACCCTTCTTTACAGCGATTGAGGTCAGGTGATATTAAAACTAAGTTAGCTAAACACAACCACCAAGACCTCAACTTGTTCACTGTACTAAAATTAAATCGACTTTAAAAATCTACATAGCACCAATGTACAGATATTAAATCCATGCATTTGCGATCAATTTTGTACTGTACAAATTGATGCAAAAATTTGAAATCGAATGTACAGTACTGCGTACAGTACTGTAAGATCAGTATTACAGAGGCGTGGCGAGACCTCTAAAATTACACTATACTGTACTGAAGAGTTCAAAAACGGTTGAAAAGAAACAATGTATTGTACAGTACATACACACTCATGTTACCTTAAATTAGAAATTGTATCTTTCAATTTTGAAGAAAGATATTTTAAATTTGGCTCATATTCCACACAGACAGATTATTATAACCTTTAGCAATTGGATTTTGATGATTTTATTACTTTCTATTGCAGTATTGAGTAGTTTTATTTCTTTCAAGTTTCTACTTCTAATACAAACTATCTGTCACCTACTATACTCCCTACTCTACTGTACGACCGGTAGAAAGTTAAAAAAAAAAAATTAAGGCAAATGCGTCATGGCCATCATTGCTGTCAACCTGTCATACAGTACAGTACATGTACTGTACTGGTAACAGATGCACTGTGTCAAAGAGCCTCTACTGTACTGTAGTGTGCTGTACACTACAGTACTGTACAGTGTACAGTGTACAGTACAGTAGGGAAAGTCTCCACTACCAATTCTAACGTCTTGCGAATGTCTTTTATCCCAATGCTAAACTACCGACAGTTGTAGCTAGGTTAACGTGCAAGTAGTATTCGCCAAGCAGCCTTTCTACCGAACTATTGGGGACGTTTATCAGCCTACTACTGATAATAATCATATAATCGACAACGACGAATAGGTTGGGGATTACTGTAATAGGTACATATTCAAGCCTTGTGGACCGGCATGCAATTTATTGTACGCTTTCTATGTACGCTGTTATTGCTATTGGATTGAATGAATGCAATTTGAAGTCTAAAATTAGAAAGAGATAATCATTTAATATGCACTGAATATAGCCTACGACTGAATGACGAACAAATTCTACTGCATATACGCATTATACCCTTTAGACAACTGCTAATTAATTGTTATTATCGAAAGGTAGATACTAGGTGAGCACTTGCATGTAAAAATGGGCTATCTATTTAAGAAGTATCTGATATCAAACTCGTTATTGTACCATAATTAGGCTTAATCGATCGATAGGACGTGCTTGTATAATTTTATAATGGCATTTTGCTTCGTATTGGATAATCATAAAGTTCATAATTTTAGCCTTCCTGTTTGATTCATTTTGTAGATTTGACGTGGTAGAGCATGACGCATAGCTTATCTTTCTCCTTTCTCTCAATTCTTTGCTTTACTTACTTACACTTAATTGCAAATTGTTATCAACTGTTGCCCATATTTTTAAGATAATTTTACGCTTAATCAGTTAGTAGCATTTTAATATTATGCATTCATAATTAATTAATGTATACGTAAAATAGCCTCTGTTATTAATGCAGCACAGTCATATTTTGATTGGCAAATTGGTGCTTAAAAGCAATTGAATATGATCATCAATGCGACTGTGAAGTGTGTAAGTACAGCATATTGTCGAACTTTTGTAAAATACTTTTCCAGCAGAACTTCTCGATTGTTGAGTATACCGCAATAAAACTTTAGTACCCGTCAATTAACGCTGATGAAGTAAGTTGCCAAGTATGCTTGCCTTACCTAACTTGCAGAAATTGAAAAAAACTTTAACATCTCCAACCACTTTAATATGCATTGGTCATTTTTTGTCATCTTGGGTAAGTAAAATTGCTGTAGTTAAAAAGCTCTGTCATCATATACTCTATTTACTGCTCTAATACCGCTTTGATGAATTAATAATATTCGCTAGCTTTAGAGTAGCACCATGTCACTGGGCGTACTTTTAAACATTCGCAACCAACAGATAGAACATGTAGCTATCTTTCATTATTCAAGCATCTGGGCAGTGCATTAATTGCATTATAATCACATCATGATCTTTTAACGCTAATAGCAACGATTATGCCATACTGCAAAGCTTAGATCCGATTAATGCATCTGATATTAACTACGTAAATTAGTTCATAATCCCATTCTATTTTCGTTGTTGTCGGCTTGTAATTTTCTATTTTCAGCAACTTGTTATTATCGTATAGATTCTGTGTCCCCAATCCTTATTAGTAGACGGACGTGTATGGATCAGTGCATTCGTCCCGGATCCAAATATGTACTAATGCACACATCCCAAAGATATACACAGTACTTCTAGTTATTATCCATCTAGTATGCCATATCTTTTAATAACCAAACGAAAATATACACTGCACTAATTAATTATTAACAGTTCATAGTCTATAAATTTATACACAATATGAAATTAATTTCCTTATTTCATTTTGACCTTTCTTAAAATACTCTATACTTTTAGTGGATACAAAGTGTAAAACCTAGTGCATTAGCTACCCTGCTATGCTACGTAACTGTTCTATCGTAGAATCTAATCATAATCTTCTCAATAATCGACTTTCTACATATAATTCATTCTTTCATTTACTTTTAGGGAGATCGTATGTGGGTGTTTGTAGTGGGTCTATTCTTGGTTAGACTAAATATTACTTCACTATTACTGACGGCTATTTATGGACTAACGCTTGCGATTACGGCGATTGTTTTTGCACCTGTTTTTGGTGACTGGGTAGATTCTAGTGATAGGCTTCGTGGTAAGTCCACTTTCTGGTAACTATAATTTATTGAATAAGATAAGCAAAGTCGCTGTGTCTCCCTCCATTCCATGCTCACTCTAACAGTTATAGCATAAACAGACTGAGAATTTCTTTTTGATGTATTGACAAATCATTTCTGATTTTACTATCTGATATTTAACTGTATTTTTATTATTATTTAGTTGTGAAAATCACGCTAGCTTCTCAGAATTTTCTGGTAATTGCTTCTGCTGGCGTCTACTTGGTCCTTCTAGAAGTTAAAGTATCAGCGACCGTCACTGTTGTTTTACAAGTAGTCTTAATCACTACTGGAACACTTGCCAATCTAGCAAGTATCACACATAAAATTGCAATCACTCGAGATTGGATCGTTGTTATTTCTGTTGGCAGTAAATCTGCTCTAGCAGGTGAAAAGTTTTATAAGAATTCGCTAATTTTCTATGTATACCATCATCTAATATTAACATAATTTTTTCGCTGTTATTTAATTCGTATTTGATGTAGATCTTAATGCCAAGATGAGACGAATTGATCTAGTCTGTGCTATTGTGGCTCCAATAGCTGTTGGTCAGCTAATTGATTTTTCTTCAATGCTAGTCGGAGCAATCTTTATTGGGGCTTGGAATGTAATCTCTTTTATCATCGAGTATTACGTATTTATAAAAATATACTTGAAAGTACCACGTCTGGCCATTAAATTGAAAAGTACAGACGCTGAACAATGTAATACTGCGGATGGAACAGAATCAGAACAGCAGGGTACCAAAATAGAGGAAGGTATTTTTTGTAGTACATTTTTTCTATTTGATATTGGAAGTATTACGATACTGCACCTGAAATACGTTTAAAGCAAACTCAGCTGAATTCCTTAATGAGTTACAAGTGTAAATAGTCTCTCATAATAGTGCACTGATTATTTTTAATATCTTAGCTATTATAACAACTTGACCGATCTCATTTTTCGCACATTCTTATAGAAAATGGACAGCCGGAAGAAGTAGAAAAAGTTAAATCGGCTGGATGCACCCTTGAACGTATCGTATCATCTTTTGTGTCTCTAAAGCGGGGCTGGTATACTTTTATGCAGCAAGATGTTACTAGAGCTGGAGTTTCATTGGCAATTCTGTACTTGACAGTATTGGGATTTAATGTAGTAACAACAGGTATTTTTTTCTCATGATTAGTATAATGTTGCATGTTTTTCATCAAGTATTGTCCTGATTATATTATTACTTTTCATGTAAGGCTATATATATGCTCGAGGTATTTCCGAAGGTTTTGTTAGCTTAGCTCGCGCAGCTGGAGCTATTTTTGGAGTCTTAGGCACCTATATTTTTCAAGTTCTACGAAATCGAATGGGACTTGTAAAGACAGGTCTCATATCACTCTTACTGCAAATATCAGCATTGATGTTTTGCGTAGCATCAGTATTTACACCAGGCAGCTCACTTTATCAGCCAACTATCATAGGTAAGAAGAAAGTAACTGATGGTTATTAACTACAATTAATTTAAACTTTCTTTTCCTTTGTTTTTACATTGTGAACGGCAACCTTTTCTTATGAAGTATTTCAAAATATTTGCAAACTTGACACACAGTCATTACTGTTTCTTTAATCATTAGACCTAAATAGTACAAACTGTTCACTGACAAACAACTCGGCAGCAAGCAATTCCTATCGGTAAAATTTTAACCGTTGTGATAATATTTTCTAGATATGCTATTTATATGTTAATATGCCATCTTTTTTATTTTTACAGCGTAAACTGCGATAGCTTAGTGCCATCGATCTCAATCATTTTATTTATGATTGGAATAGTTTGCTCACGAACCGGCTTGTGGATGTATGATTTGAGTACTACACAATTATTCCAAGAACACGTTAGTGAGGCTGAACGTGGTATCGTTGGTGGTGTTCAAGACGCTCTCAATAACATTCTAGACCTAATTCAATTTGTTCTTGTCTTAATTCTACCTCAAATTGATACGTTTTGGATCTTAATTCTTGTATCCGTTACGTTTATTATTTTAAGCTTGTTAGTATACATAACATTCGCCTTTAAGGTCAAATTTGGTGGTGCATTACATGCTGTAGCAGAAAGTGATGATGAGAATGTATGTAATAGAAAGGAGGGCATTGCTGCAACCGTTGATAATAATGAGCTTCCAGCTGCTTCTATTAAATTGCGAAAACCTACAGAACAGAAACATGTATCTAAAGTTACTACTGTATAATTTTGAATCCAGATTTTTAACGGTATTTAAGTGCCGAATTGTATCATTTTCCGAACTTAAATAGTCCGTACGAATGGACCATTTCTATTCTTGCCTACTCAATGATCACTAAATCTTGTAAAACGATCGATGTTTTAATAGTTTAGTAAATAAAAACATGGTATAAAAATCGGCAATTGCTTAAATATCTTTAAAAATGTTTTTTAAAATAATTTTCAGGTCGCTATCGAGATATTACAGCAATTGCTTTTCATAAGCAGATTACAAATATTCTCTTTGCACTATTTTTAGCTTAATAAACACAGTCTATATAAATGTCTTTATTCTACCTCTTCAACTCGCAAATATCATCAACTCATATTGAATTACTGCATCGCAGGTAGGATTTTACTCAAGATATTATTCTCATGTTGCTGAAACTGTAAGACTGAATGCTCTCTCACACATCAGCATTAAGCTGCATATAATGTATTAATGTGTGATGTAATAAAAATTATACTCTCTAGTTAGTTAACCTTTTATCGATGTGTAATCGCTACTACTAAATTATTTGATAATAAATATCAAGCCAATTTTGCTAAATGTACTATGACTCCGAATAGTTTAATATTTAAAAGAAGAAATGTTTAGTCAATTTTATTTATATATACATACAGTATAAATAGACAAAGTGCACATTATAGATTAATTATTCGTCATAGTTCTACATACAATACTGTATGATCGTACAATTACAGTGCTTGACTGATTCAGTTTCGTATAAAGCATATGATCACGGATTTCTTGCTAAAATATCCCGAATAATGTAGAGGAAGACTATCACCAGAGATATTCTGTTAGAGTGCTGCAGTATTGCAACTTGCAATCAAAAGTATCGAATCTATTTCCGAATTGTCGAATCATGAACTACTCAATTTCTCACAGTCTAGAGTTGAACCCTCTATGGCAATATTTCAGCAAGGAATCTGAGACATTTTTACATGCTGCCATATTGCTTGTACTGTACTACTATACAGTACTGTAGTTTGTACAGTTCTATCTTACAGTACTGTACAGTACTGTCCACTTTTGAGTCACTTTCAGACTTGGATCTACAGTACAGTGCATTCTACATTACAGTACTGTACACAGTACAGTACTTTAAGATTGGTATTACGACGTGACTTATAAAATGGTTGGAGCGACCGTCCATGTAACAGCAACTGATAGTTTGTACGAGAAACTTGAAAGAAATAGAATTATACATGTCACACACCACTAGTGACAAAGTAGTCTACACACGCCAATCCTTGCGGAGAACGCCACTTAGTAACTTAAAAGAGGCGAGATTAGCTATATCACCAAATAATTCAGTTCCAACGACCGAATACTATGGTATAATTATAGCGTCACAGATGATGTAGACGAGATAGTCAGAGATTTACTATCATTTATTACTGAAGGATTCTTGGCACCCAAGATTATAGTCTTTACAATTAAGGCAACACTACCGTATCCGTACAGTATACTGTACTGTACTATACTGTACTGTACAGTACACTGTGTCACTGTAGGGTACTGTACAGTACTGTACTGTAGTGTACTGTATACTGTAGCTGTACTGTACTGTACAGTACTGTAAGACCTACAGTGGCCCAAAAGGGAACTGAGCAGAATCTGTACAGTTGTGAACAAGAATTGCTACCGAGTAGAGAGCAAATTCTACCGTTGTAGTACTGTACAGTACAGTACAACAAGCTACAACTGCTGCCATAAGGATTGCGCGATCATCTCGCTTGGGAATTTTATTGGCAGTGAAATGATGGACAGTAACGAGATGAACTTGCCAGACCAGTTGGCCTTTGATAATAATTCAAGCAATGGTACCGGCGATCTAAGTGAAGAAAGCAGTAATAGTTTTTACCCAATGATGACGATGCCGGAGTCGATTTCGTATTCTGGTAAACGTAAGGAAGATAACGATTTTACTCAAAAATACCTTCATGGTGACATAAGTGAATTTGAAGTTACCCATCGAATAAATGATATCAGCAGTGATAACTATGAAACTGTACCAAGTAAATTAACTATCAATGAAAGTAGAACATATCAGAAGAAGCCGATGTGGTATAAGTCTGAAAGTGCCAGTATGCCCAGTAATAATCAAAATGTGCCAGATGATAAGTAAGTATACTATAAATTGCGCCATGATGTACTTTAGATGGATGCAACCTTGATAGATGGCATTTGATCATTAACAGAAGTCTCTCAAAGGACAATTTCCCCTCCGCCCCGCCCCCCAAAAACCGATCTTATATAAGCTATCATTGCAACGCTTTTCTGAAAATAATATTAATGTTATAACTAGTACAACGTAGGATTAAAAACTGTTATTATAATAATACGATATTAGGATGGGTGTGTGATAAAATAAGTACAGTAAGCCTATCGGCTCTAGACTCGTCTTATTATCAACAAGTGGAAATCTATCAATTAAGCACCATGGTTAAATTCAGTAGGATTACAAAAATCAGTCAGTTTTTACATATTAACATACGATACAATTTATAAAATTCGATAGCAAATGCTCCTCACGCCTCCAGCTTATCACAAATAGTAAATACTGTTTAGTAAATGTTGTATCGGAAGAATCAAACTTCTAGTTTTAAAGTCAACATTATGTGTTACTGATAATTTACTTTCCTGATATCGAAGAATTTCTTACATTTCATTGCAGTAATCGTCTTATCCATATGGTATTGTACAGTTTAGGATAAAAAATAACCCTCGATGTGTTGTGCAATAGATTGCTTAGATTTAAATGTACCTTTATTCTAGTATGATGATGTACGTGTAGTTCATAAAAATTACACTCAAATCAACTGTAAATCAATTTGTACCATTTAATGTGTTATTGACGAAAATGATAAATTTTTATATCTGAATTAGAATCTCCACTAACAGTGTGATAGAAGAATCCCAGGCTCCAGAAGAAGTGACTGCTGCAGAAACTTCAGAAATGGAGGATAACGAATCAGATGACCAGATTAGTTATCAAGAATTTATGCAACTGAGAAACGATGATAAACTTATTAACTTGTACTTACGATTAAGAGATCAAGAAGAAAGAATGAGACTATTGGAAAGGAAGGTGAAAAATAATGAAGCTAGTGGCATCTTTGGAAGCATAACGGGAATGGCATTATGCATTTCTTCGATTCTGGCTTTAGGATATGTCTACAGGAAAAAGTTGCAGCTGTAACAAATTTAGAATGAAATGTCACCGATAGTAGATTAAATACCCAGGATAGTTAATTATCTACTAATTATTTCTTTGTGAATTGTTGTAGTAGCACATTTGTATATATAATATCTACGTATAAGGGTTTAAAATAAAGGGAAAAATCCGCCTTGATATCTCATATATACCGTATATACACTCACTGGCTGTGATTGTAAACATGTAAACTTTTACGACTAGTAACTGCAAAATTAGCAAGATTTCATTGTACTGAATGCCTATAAAAATCGACTTAGATTTTTGTCCTGGTTGTCGCTTCGTACATGTCAATTTTTAGAAAGCAGTAATTTACTGCGTGCTAATCCGCTAATGCACCTTAAGTGAGTAATTACGTTACTTTGAATTTGAGAACTTAGGAGTTATTAAAGGACTATTTTATTTTATATTTCGGCGCAATTGCTATATGTTTTAGAATATACGCTACTTTACCTATCCATAAAGGTATAGTAATAACTATTCCTCTTATGCTTTATCCTTTGACTTTATAAAAGTTTGATACTTTAACGGTAGTATTTGCACTGTTCTTCTAGTCCCGTCTTACTTAGTACCTATACGTAACTAGTAAGGAAGAATCCATCAAAGTTACTCTTGCTCTTGCTAACGGGTATGCTTCATGCTGTTTTTCATGCGTTGAGATTGATGTAATTCTGATGTAGCATGTATCTTAAAAAGTAAACAAAGATATCTTTGGAAATGAGATCTATCGGTATGATGAAAGAGTTGAAAAAAAGTAACAGTACTATCAATTAAACTATAGTCAATAAATTAAATTTTTTACGCAAAGTAACTAAAGCTAACAAGGTATCAAAAGTCATTCACTAATTAATCACTGCTGCTGAATGCTAAATATTTTCATTGGTAAATGTGTTAACTTTTGCATAATATTGTAATATTTATATATTGCATAATATTTGTAAGTGTTCAGCAACGCCCGAAACATTCATAGTAGTTATCAATACACAATAAATTTATATACCACTCGTTTTGTATGTATTTTATTCAATGTAAAATCTGTTAATATGAGCAAATACAACCAATGATATTTCCTGAATACGTTTATGCCGGAATTGTAAATCTGGCAAGATACAGTCTACACATATCATATGAAGTTATGACTTACATTCGTCACTAACGTTGGTATACATAAATATGCACAATAGTGAAATTTTTAAATAGAATTTCATTTATGACTTCTTGTGTTACATTAAGCGCTACAATATGCATGGTTCTATAAGTATATGAATTGCTAGAGCTCGAATCAATCATTAAAAATACTGATTATCGTCTTAAAATATTCAATTTACATGATATAAAGTTTCAGACATAATTTAAAGCTATCATAAATATAACAGAATCTACTAAACTAGGGGGAAAATATACTTTTTGAGAGGAAGCCATTCACTCGAATTCTACTTCTACACAAAAGTAATAAACGCTACAGTAATTGAACAAATTCTAGTGGTAAATTTTACTAAAGAAATATAAATAAGCATGATTTAGTGGAGTGAAATATACGGTCTAGATAGATTACAAGGTCATAAAATTCATGATAGATAATTAGAATTATTGTTTGTGTGATATCTCAAACTGGAAGAGGACTTGATACCATAGCGAATTGGAAATTCTGACTCTCAAGACATCCTACAGAGTATATCATTAATACACAGTTTTTGTGTTTAAGTTAATTCCAGATATTACAGACATTTCCAGAATTTAAAGGGTTTGCAAGTTTTCATTCTATTGAATAGGCGGCAATGTAACATCAACCTCATTGGGCTTATTATAGCCATCATGTGCAGATTTATTCTTCGAATCTTCATATACGTATCGTAAATTCTCTTGGGATGCTTTATCGTGCGTATAATGAACATCATTTGTTTTCTTCTTAAGACTACCATGATGAGAGCGATGCTTCTTACTGCCCATTAAGCCACGTGTACTAAATTTGCTAGATATCAGCGACTTACTATTGCTTTTAGATGATTTCATGCCCTAATTTAGGTATTCGATAAATATTTAATTTCAAATACGTCTACTTATGTAGTGAACTTCAAATGTGGGTCAGGTATTAATAATTACAACTAATGCCATACCGCTTGAATCCACGGATGTTCCCAAGCTTCATCGGGTTTCATGCGATACAGCGGATTCCAGCTAAAATTTTATTATTAATAGCATACTATAAGAGATTGAGTAAGCCAAGCATATGTGTGTAAACCTCTAATTATTTGAAAACTTGAGTTAAAATATCTTATGCTACAATAAATAAATATACTAAGTTTAGTTCAATGATTAGCTATGAAATACTCTAGAAAGCTACAAAAATTCGTAATGTTAAAATCCTTCCTTGATTGACATTATTATTGCTAGCTTTCATATGATATACGAAAGTATACCAATTCACTTACACGAAACATTTCTCCAAAAAGTTTAAGAACAGTTCATCGTGGCATTTTAACACGTTACATAGTCTCTTACTATTTGGCCAATGAGTCTTTCCTCTTGAATTAACAATATTCTTGGGATTACCTTTTGAGTCTAGAATCAAGAGCAATATTTTCAATTTTTGTATGTTCACTGTCATAAATGATTTGTAAAGTGAAGTAATTCCTATCAATTATTTTTAATACTAACCAAAAAAGCATGCTTTCCGATCACGATTGATTAGGATCTCACGAGGAGGTATGCCAAGCATCTAGTAGTTATTATTACAAACCGATTACTTTAAAATTTGTCAGGTCCCTTATTCATCGCGGATTATAATTTTAGGTTTATATGATACGTTTTAGACCTGATCAAATAATTTCTAAGCGATACAAACTATCTAATACCCTAAACGAAATTTAGGAAAATAATTTAAACATAAGATTCTTAAATTCATAATTTTGGCTACCTCCATCATTAATGCGAGTTGTTCTGCTTCGTTTTCACCAGGGAACATTGGGACACCTAATATAAAATTAACGGTATCATAAGTAACATTTTTCATTTCCGATAAGTTAATTAAAGAATATAGAATTACTATATATTAATTATGAGTCCAGTAAGACAATCTCCTGATTTCAGCTTAGTTTACAAACTATAACATAGCATTAGAGTAGATAGTTACTATGTAGTAAAGTTCCTAATTATGTAATTCCTGCATTTATCAGCATTGAAATAAGTACAACAATGCAACTTATTTATATCTGATCAAACGTAAAAATTTAAAGTAACCTAAATAAGATTAATTAAAGCTTTACTTTAACCTGAATATAACTCCGCAAGTATACAGCCCAAACTCCACATATCAATGGCTAAATTATATCGGATCCCTAGTTTATGTTAACAGCAAATCATTAAGGAAAATTAATTTTATCAGCCTGTACAAGCAAATATAGAATATTCACTTCGTACAGCCAAATATATCAGCATTTGCAAATGTATTGTACGTTAATAAGACAACCTAGCTTACCTAAGATCACTTCCGGTGCACGGTAGTAGCGACTTTGGATGTATTTGTAGACTATAAACAAGCAATAAATTCAAAATAAACAAAAATCTTAGAGCATTGATTTGAGATTGCTTCAAACTCCAATATTACAATGAAGAAAATAACTAGTAGTCGGATCCTCTCGCAATATACCAACATTAATACAGTTAGAGACTTCTTTGGGCCAGACTATATAATATTTCGCCCTTAATCTTTACACAACCGCGAAAAAATAGCTGAATGACCAAAATTCTATTCGAAACATTAACTAAGCAAAGTCCTTACATTAAGAAGAACAAATTTTGCCTGTAAACATAGAATAACCGCTACTTTAACAAGACGACTGCCTCTCATTCCACTCAATCTTACCTAATTCTATAATACTAATTTCATTAAAGAGCTGCTATCGTAATTTCATCAGAATAAAAATTAAACACCATTTAGTCTTTCTAATTTTAAATAAAATTTTGAACCACCCCCAAACTTTTGGCCACAAGTCATAATTATAAAGCTGGTACATGCCATGATAATACAATTCGTATTTTATGCTATTACCGATTTTATCTTCGAAGCAGCTGGATCCAAAATCGATAACTTTAATGTCCACTTTACTCCGTTTCGATAATAGAATATTTTCCTAATATTTTATAATAATTAAAATATGGCAATTCAGTTACAAGAATTCAAAGATCTTTAATTGATAACAATATATCCACTTCCGAAACTTACTGGCTTTAAATCGCAGTGAATGATTCGTTCTCTCTGCAGTAACCGCATGCAATTTAAGATAGATATTGCAAGTCTATTGAACCCAAAAAATAATCTTATAAATTCTATATCAATTTAAATTTTAATTTAATATTTCTTATCTAATCGATAAATATATAAAATGGTTCGAAAATTTCAATACTTTAGATGTTAACAACTGTAATTCTTAACAATAAGTAATGCCCTACGCACCGTCTAACCACTTCCATGCTAAAGCCTCTGAAATTATTTTTCTGAATCATTTCGTATAGATTCATCCTGCGACACAAGAAAGGTTATTTAATGTTAGGCTGATACTTTTCTGCAATATAATTAATCTAGCAAAATTAAGATGAGCGGTATGAATATCTTTACCCTAGCAGTTCAAATGTGATACAGACATGCTTCCTAAAAGAAAGAGATTAAACTAAAATTTAATAAGTGCATAAAACTGTTACTGTCTTCGATACTATTATTGACAATCTAAACTGTTAGATTAGCGATAAATTTGAGTTTTAATCTATGGTAGCTAAGGTGATGATGATTTGATATGGGACGGTAGTATTTTACTAACAGCATTGTTAAATGAATCTATATTTGAAATACTAAATTTCTAATATCCCATTATTACAACCTAAAATCGGATTTCTTATATAATTTTTACGTTACCTGAAGAAAAAGTATTCTTTCATGTGTATTACATTACAATTTCCTTCTCTATCCTGTAATGATCGGGAATAAAGAAAGTATGTCGGAAGAATGCTTTCTCATCCAATAAAGCCGGCACCATTCTATATTAGTACCGCAATAACAAGCTCGTCCTATCTAACCGTTTACAATATGAGCTTACACTTTTGCGAAGAATATCTAGTATTTTTAGTTCAACCAATGCTTGCCTATGAAACCTGTAAGATTTTAAAATATTAATAAATGCTCAGATCTGATCATTTTATACAGTCCAGCTATAGAATATGTACATAGTAACTTAAATATTAAAGGCAACTTAAGTTTAAAGCATCATTATTAGATATTGGAAGGATTGTCACTAAGTACCCATATAATTATTTAGATACCTACTGTAACGTAACTAATGATATTTATTTAATAGATATTTTACGATTCCACATGTTTCTTCAGCTCTACTGAGTACAATTAGAAGGAAATTAACCTATTAGATTAAACTTTGAAGTAAAGATGGTAATGGCATGCATTCTGTTTGTAATCTTGTGACAACTTAAGATTCTTATTCTAAGCCTTATCTACAAAGTTAATAGCCCTATTAATAAATAAAAAATTAGCAGACTGCATAGCACTACATTATTCCTTACTATTTTGTGCCGTATCATTCAAAAAATAACGATAGGTTAAGGATGTTTTGTCGGTCTAAGTCAGGTTAGATACTTCTTAACATAATTTAGGGCTAAATTATTGCCAGCACTTGTTGCATCACTAGTTGTTCAGTATTTATCTTCTTAACTAATTATAAACAAGAAATAACTCTGAATAGGAGCACAATATTACTATGGATTGGAAAGTAAATTTTAAAATATATCATTGTCCGTAGTATAACATCAGGTACTGCAACAAATTTCGCAACCAAGCTCAATACAATGAATATTATCAATGGAATCCAATGTGTTATTACAGCACAATAAGGAACTGGCTAATATAATAATAGTTTGATACAATTCATTTCATTCAGACTTTTCTCCAACTTACTTTCTTTTATTGACAATAATCTTTATGGCTACAATTGTATTCGTTTTATGATCCAGTACTTTAACGACTTGGCCGAATGATCCTTTACCCAGTAGTTCTATAATCTCATATCGATATGCTAAATGATCATGTAATACTCTCAAATAGTTTCCGTCATTATCATCATATCCTAAATATATATAACCAGTAAATTTTTTGTGTTACCCCAAGTGAAATTATTTAATAATAATAAATTGCTTTAAGCCGGCTTCTAATATATTACCAAGCTCATTAATCATAACTAAACAGTACCATTATTATTGGGCCCCCCTTCCACTCCCTGAACTTTGCGGGCTTCTGGACCTAAAAACCAAATTTTAGGGTAGTCCATGATTTCTGTTTCTTCTAAACGCGTTAATTTGTCACCAAAATTTTTCAGACAATCTTTAAACAAAAATTAATTAGACAACATTTATTAACAAGCATCAGTTACTTCATGATGAGAAATATTAAAGATTTTTAATAAAAACAATTGCTATTAAATGAATAAAATGGCATGCTCTTTACTTCATGTTTAAAACTCTACAACGTAAAATTATCATAAACAGAAACCATGATTCACTTAAAAACTCACAATCTGGTGTTAATGCTTCTCTGTCTTCGTTCTGATCTATCGGTAGACTGGGAACTCTACCACTACCGGGTTTGCCAGTATTGCTAACATAGAATAAAAATAGATCAGAATTTTAATATTATAGAAAATATAAGTGAAGCGAAACGAAGCAGGAGCACAATTTGTGCTAATATCGCTATAAATCCTTAGATAGTCTGTATTAACGTGCAATTACCCAAAATTTGTCAAGACATTACCTAGCGGCGTGTGAATCATTAGAGTTTAAGCCTTCGCTGCTTGCCGTTAGCTAATAACGTTCAAAAAAGTGATAAGTAATTTGAAGACTGTTGGATGTTATCGATTTTAATCGTTGAGTTACTACTATCATATTTAAATCTTTAGACTTACCTTACTATCCCTTATCACAGGTAATCCAATCTTCTCCTGTATAATTGTTATATAAAAACAATCAGAGTTGATAATTAATTAGCAGAGGTAACACCATTTCTATGCTAATTGAAATAATACAGGGAGAGTTATCTAGTGCATAATCATGCTATTGTAACATAGCATTTACTTTACGATAGAAATTTGGATCTAACAATTGTCCACTGGAACCGTGATTTATGCTATTAATCGAGTTAATCACAATTACATGCTTTTAGTTAAAATTTACGGCAGAACTATGTGTAGCCATTACAAATATTACTCTATTTGCTAATTTTCTTTTATTACTTATTAATTAAATATTGTAAGTTAACATTTTATTCAAAAAGGTTTTAACTTAAGTCTATTTCTCTGATTACTAAAAACTACAGAATCAACTTTAAATAAAACTAGAATCCATATATGATTCTGTTGTATCATGTAATTTTAATTATTGTAGGAGTGTTACGAGCAAATTATCAGTAAATTTCGGAGAAGGTTAAACAATGAAAATACAGAATACAGACTGCATTCATACCTTTTCGTCTTTTCGATTTCCTTTCGTCATATCGTTAGCTTGACTTAATAAGAAAAATCATTGTTAGAACAAATAAAACATAGCTAGACCAAAATCATTAATAGTGTTCTCGAAACTTTTCTTGCACACTTATTGTTAATCTCTTGACTTATGCTTTTGACGATTAGTTTATCGGCTATTGATACTGTTGGTAAGCCTTTCCGTTCCTTCTGTTCGCTGTCTATGCTTGCTCGTTTACTCAGCTATATGGTGAAGAAAATATTGTTTAAATAGTATTCATGTTTAGAATTTTTTATTAATTGAAGGTAAAAAGTCAATCTTTTGCTCTAAATTGAATAAGTAGTTCATTTTACGATTGGTATTGTAAAGTCAGTGTGCGCTATCATTTATATTTCAAAAATTGGCAGCAAAAGTAAGATTTTCTGCTTATTAATAGTTATAATTAACAGTTAATTTGATGTTCTTAGTGAAGGTTGAAGGATGTAATAGAAGCTAAAGGCTCACTAATTAGAAAAATTAATAGCACTTAGGCTAATATTAACACTTCATGGAGAGGGAGAAATTAGATAAATTTTAACCCTCTTATTGGCAGTATTTACAAGTTCATTGTTTTAAGTCGACGATTAAAGCTCAAACTATTTACCTGATATCATGTTCAAAAGGACAAATTTTTTACGCTAAAAAATCTCCAATAATGGACACAGTTTACGGGTAGAGCTAAAGTAGATGTAATGTGATGTAAATGCATACAGCGTAATAATGTACAGTGCCAGCACTTCAGACGTATTTTTAAAATTCATGTCATCGTTTTATTAATAGTCAAGAAGACCTACCAGTAATTATGTACAATATAAAAGTAAATGATGGAATTTGCTACTATATTGGGAAGAGAGACGGCTTCTAGTTAAAAGTTTATGCTCAGCTAGCGAAGGCTTACATTTTTTTAAAATAAATCTCATTTAAAGGACCAAGGAATGTTATATTAAAGTACTGTATTTACTGGTGAAAGAATTTCTCAAGAAGCAGTGAAGATTTAAAATCACTGCAGTTTCGAATCCATAGCCTTGCCCTATCTTTCAGTATAAAATTACACAGTAGGAAAGAAGAACGCACGCCTGCTTAAAAGATTAGTTATAATCGTCGCTATATGGCTGTTAATCTCTAAAATTTGATAATGCCAAATAGTGTCTTGTCTGAAAGAAATGGCAGGAGCTGATATAAATTATTTATCCATTTCTGCAGTACCTTCTATTTGCCATTAAATATTTACTTTTTAATCAAGAATTTACTAGAACCTGGCAGTAGTATTGATATATATATATGAATAGAGATGGTTGAATATGAAATACTGTAGCTATTGAAATTGTGTTACTCCTGAAATATGTCAACATTTACACTATTGGTAAGAAAACTTTTTCGCTTCAAAGCCCGTTTTCAAAGTAAACCAATAATAAATAATATGATCTAATTTGTTAGTTTTAACGAAAGAAATTTTACCAATTATATTACGGGAAAATCAATACGATAAACACTGAATCAATGTACTCTTATCGGTAGATGTTATATCGCTTCCATATAAGAAATTAAAATAATTCGTTGCTTGCAATTTTAAGCTTCATATCATTATTCTAATATCTCTAGAACAATTTTGAGCTAATTTTTAAAATAACTTCTCTATACTAGACAGATTTTCAATTATGTAATTAACTTACATAAGAATTCTTCAAAAGACGAGAAACAAACGGTGATGAGTAAAGATACAACGTTTAAGTAAAATAAATTTTTTCCGCTACGATAAATTTACGGCTATAAAATGGTTTTTCGCGGAGTTTTTAGTAGGAAACTATAATTATCGTGAAAAATTATAGCGTTTAATATTGGAAATGAGGACAACGTCGCCAGACACCACCGTAGGGTGCAAGCAGTGGTCACTTAGAAACCAAAATGGAACAAATGTTTACATCCCAGTATGCCCATAAAAACTACGTGCGCTGCGCTGGATACTATATACAACAAGGAGTGGAATTGTTTATCCTTTATATTAGAAACTTGAACCTACTTTAGAAAAAAAGTTGATTGGTAATTGACGTGGTTTTCGAAAGAACCTTACAGGCTGATTTTCAGATGCCTTGTCTTGGAGGTTTTTCCTGCGTTAATAAAGCAAATATTACACTTTATATTTTTAAGTGTAAATCTATCAGCTGCAAATATAATGATGAAACTAAACAAAAAATGAATTTCAAGAAAATTACCACATACTTAAGCGAAGTAAAGATCAAAGTAGACATGTTGTAAAAGTGAAAAAATGATGGTATTGTTTACTTAGTTAGTATTGTTATTAGCCAGAGTTATGACAAAGACTTATGGAGATTTCGTTTTTAATCTAAGACAGTTTGGACTCAAATCACTATATCGATTGTCTAAAATGTGATTGACGGATGTATAAGGAGAAAGAATAATAGTCAGACAGAAAAAAATAGTCTTAGCGTCAACACAATTACTACATTATGGGCTTATTGATCTCATTCATACGTAAGACGCAGAAAGACAAAACCCAACGGATAAATGACGAATTATATCTATCCTGCTGAGTAGCTTTCAATCAATCTCGTCCTAACAACGGCAAAGTATTTCTATATCTATAACAATAATTTATTTTTTGGAAGAAGTAAAAGGATGAATAGATAGTAGCGTTAGTAAGCAGGAGCTTTGTTCGTTAAAAGCAAAAATTAAAGTGTAAATCGGTTACCTGCTGTGAATCTAAACAATGATTTTCTATTGTTGAACGGAATAATTATCTTTAGTATCTACGGCCTTATAAATGGTTCAAAGGCCTAGATATGAATATAAGTCATGCTATATATATGTCTAATCTATAGCAACGTTCTTTAATTACACACTAAGTTATTGTAGCAGCCTCAGCTTAGCGTTATTATTAATGTAGTTAAGGCATAAAAATACTGCAAAATTTGCTTAAGTTCTCTGTTCTGGAGATATCAATTTTCATTTAGAGTAAGTAGGAAGATATAGTCATGTAAAATAAACACTTAGAATCTCTAATAACTGAAATAAGATTCCTAATGACTTTTTTAGGAAAAGACATAATTAGTAGTAGTAACTTCTTATGAAGCATATTGCACTTATCGATTTATCGAATAATAATTTCAACTTCACTTTTGAATTGATTAATAACAGCTTACTTTCCAGTATTTCCGCGCTCAATAATGTATCAAAAGTGTCACCTTAATCTATACCCCATTATAGGCATTATTTCTATCACGTAAATCGATAAGTTTCTTGCTGTATATGAATTAAAATATATCCTCGCAAAACAGTGTAATAGTTGTCACTTACTAGAAATACTCCTAACTTCTGTGCAGTATTTTAGAATGTAATGTCTTAACTTTACGTTCTTGAAAATTTTAACGCCAATCAACGGTATTCCAATATTAGATTAAATTAAGACTTCTAGTCTCGCAGGAAAGTCTCGATCTACTGTAATAGCTGTGTAATCGCATCTTGAGTGAATTTCAGTACTTAAAACTGGTTTAGTTATCGAATCACTCGCCTCTAACAATTGACCAAATAAATACATAAAGAAACTCCACTAGTACGGTACTAATTAAGATCTAGTCTAATAATTTTATATCTATTGCGTTAGCAATAAACTAACTCACTCAATTTTGTTACAATAATGTTACTCTATTTTACTTAAGAGCAAAGGTACAGTTTAATACTGCTAATAAGCATTTCTTCGTATGAACACATTTAATTCCAATTATCAAGCCCATAGATCATAGCATTAGTTGTGATTTACATAGCGATTCCTGCCTAAACTCTTTATTCCATTGAATGATACTTCATATTT